CATACATGGTTTAAAAGGGAAAAAAATCTTTAATGGACAGAATTATATTTATTTTTATGTATAGAGTTTTGTTGACTGTTATGTAGCCTTTCTAAGACTACTTCCAATCAAAATTGTGTTTGTAACGTTAATTTTGTTATATATTTTTGGAATATTGATAAAAGATCAGTTGGTTTTAATAATTAACTGACTAGAATATCAAGCCATTAAGAGCAATTTAGAGACTTTATTTTTGTGTCCTTATATTTGAGGTATTAAAAGTGCATGGATAGTAAATTGTCTTTTACCCTTATGTAAATATGAACTGATAATATCTGGGTTCTTAAAAGTAGGGAACTTGAGTTTTATTTGATGAGTAGAGGCATCTTGCACCAAGCTACTTCAGTAGATACACATGGCGTAGTGTTAAACAACTTCACATGGAAGTCTTAATTGACCTTAGTAATATTCTAGATCACTGTTTTCAACCTTGGCAATTTTAAAAAGTGTGGACTTCAATTCCCAGAATTCCCCAGCCAGCACATTGGCTTGAGAATTCTGGGAGTTGAAGTCCATACATCTTAAAGTTGTCAAGTTTTGGAAACTCTGTTCTAGATTATACTTTCCCAATCTGGTAACATCCAGATGGTTTGGGATTGTATCTTCCAGAATTCTCAACTGAGTCCTGGTTGTTGCAGTTGTGGAAAGCTCTTCAAAAATAAATTCCTAAGACTATGTCACTTCATTGTAAAATAATAGTTCTGAGAAGTTTCAGTAGACTTAAGATTTCAACTACTCAGATTCCATTAATACAGCTGTTTCCATTTAAACTAAAATGTTTGAATTCACTTGCAGTTTTGTTTGTGACTAATAGATTAAGCCTTTACCATAAATCTATACTGAAATATTGTTATGCTTTATTGTTACCTTTTCAATATACTTTTAATTTTTCAAATTATATTGAAAGGAGAGTGGAGCACCACCTAACTTTAGATTTTTTTTTTTTGCACTTTATAGTTAGTAAAAAAAATATTTTCACAAATTGTTTTGCTGCATTCAAACTTTCTTATTAAATATTCATATAATAATATTTCTTCAGCTTTTTTATTCAAGTCTACCTTTAGACTGAGATCTCTTACTCCATTATAATTTTCATTCTTGACTAAGGCCATGTTATTTCACAGTATTCATCCCTTGCAATTCATTATGCTCTATAGAAATTACTTTGAGTTAATCTGTAAAGTATTGTATATACTGGTTGTGCTACATAACTAATTGAAATAGTGCAAGAACTTATACAATTAGAACAACATTACTATCTTTTTCTTTTTCCCCTTTAGCAGCTCCAGTGTTCAAAGCACATATTATAGTCACAAAATCATCAGAGGTATTTTCCTTTTTACCAAAAATAGTCATTTATTCCATATAAGTTGGGAAGTTGTCAGAATCAGAGATCCAAGGAAAACGTTTATATCCAATTATTGAGATCACTGAAATACTCCTTTTAAAGCATTTGTGATATTGCTTGTGTCCCATACGTGCCTGAAGCAGACCTAAGTCAAAAATATTTTCTCCAAGATATTTTTAAGAGAATGAAAAAAACACCAGTCAGGATATTTAGAAACACTTGGCTCACAACATTTGGTCTGTCACACAATAATATGAATTTCATCTTTTTGTTGTAAAAACATGACAACTCAAAATTAACAAAAATGAATGAATACCATAATATAATTCTTAAATTGCACAAGTTGCCATGTCAAGGTAGCGTCCCCCAGTTACTTCTACATTGGCTGAAATTATTTAACAATATTATCCAAGTAAAGTGTAGAACAGTGCTTCTCAAACCTGGGTAAATTACCCAAAATTGGGTAAAAGTGGTTTTTCTTTGGGTAACGACACACAAACCAATTAATCACAACAGGGACATTTAAACTGACTTAAAGATTGCAACGTGTATTAAAATATTTTCAAAAGTCTCCCAAAGTATTCCTATTAAGACAAAAATCGATGAAATTACCAATGGTAATTTGTTGAAATGACATAA